CGGAGGGGGAGACGAAGAGCTGGGTGGGCGGGTGAGTGACGGTGCGAGCTGGACGGGCGAGCGGATGAGAGAGGGGCGAGGTGGATCCCGGCTGGCAGCGCAGGGAGAGCAGGACCTGAGCGCAGAGTCCCGTGCAAGTCGGTGGCCAAGGAGCGCGAGCCCAGGTCCCTCTCCCCACCCCCCACGGGGCGGGGAAGGACAAAAGCTCCCACGCGGCGTGGCTTCTGCGTGCCGAGGTTCCTTACTCCTGCAACTTTGCCAGGTTTCCCCAGGAGCTGAATGTAGGCAAGATCAGCGCTGAGGTGATGTGGAACCTGTTTGCCCAGGACATGAAGTACGCCATGGAGGGTGAGTCCCCTCCCCGTGTGTCTCAGCCAGGCCGCAGCAGGCAGCCATGCCTCGGTGTCCCCTCCAAGGCTGCGATGCCCAAGCCAGATGCCAGCTGTGGCCAGAGCAGGCAGCCCCTCGCAAGACAGAGGGTGAGGCCTTCCCCAGCTGATGCCCCTCCCCTCCCCAGAGCATGACAAGCATCGCCTGTGCAAGAGCGCGGACTACATGAACCTGCACTTCAAGGTCAAGTGGCTCTACAACGAGTATGTGACGGAGCTGCCTGCCTTCAAGGATCGCGTGCCCGAGTACCCCACGTGAGCTCCCGCCCCGAGCGAGAACTGCGGCGCTAACAGTGCGGGGCCCCGGAGAGGAGGGCTGACCGGCCAGGGGTTGCCTGTGTCGGGCACCTGGGGGCTCGAACCCAGGCTCTCCCTGCTCAGCCTTGGGACTGTGGACGCCTGTAGTCTAGAAGATTGCTATTGCTATCATGTTTCTTATTAGGGTTTTTTAAGGCAGTCTTGCTCTGTGGCCCAGGTCGGAGGACAGCGGTGCAATCATAGCTAACTGCAGCCGTGACCTCCCAGGCTCAAGTGATCCTCCCTACTTAGCTTCCCAAGTATCTAGGTCCACCACCGTGCGCCACTCTGCCCAGCTTGTTTTTCAATTTTCTGTAGAGAGGAGGTTGCTATGTTGCCCAGGCTGATCTCAAGTTCCTAGGCTCAAGTGACCTTCTGCCTAAGCCTCTTGAGTATCTGGGACTACAGACACACCACCACACTTGGCTAACTTAGAAAAATAATTTTTGGCCAGGCTCAGTGGCTCAGCCTGTAATCCCAGCACTTTGGGAGGCCAAAGCGAGCAGATTGCCTGAGCCCGCCGGTTTGAGACCAGCTGGGGCAACTTGGCGAGACCTCGTCTCTACAATAAATTTTAAAAATTTTAAAAATTTAAAATTTATTGGACCTGTGGTTCCAGCTACTTGGAAGGCTGAGGTGGAAGGTTGCCAGAGCCCAGCAGGTCGACGCTGGGGTGGCTGTGAGTGTGCCACTGCACTCTAGCCTGGAGATGGAGTAAGACTCCAACTCAAAAAAACAAAACGAAACAAAAACAAAAATAATTTTCTAGAGATGGGATCTTGCTATTTTTCCCAGGCCGGTCTTGAAGAACTCCTGGCCTCAAGTGACACACCCCCCCACCTCGGCCTCCCAGCGTGCTGGGATTACAGGCGCGAGCCACCATCCCCAGCCCAGACAACTCATTCTTCTCATGGCAGCAGGAATGGTGCCAGGCTGCTCCACTAGCTTTTCCTCACTTGGCATTTTATGAACTGAGGTGGAATCGTCATAATTCCCGCTGTGTGGATGAGACAGTGGAGAGGAAATGCTGCCAAACAGCCGGGGCAGTGGCTCTGGACTGTCATTTCGGCAACTCAGGAAGCCGAGGCCAGAGGGTTGCTTGTTCGACACCAGTCTGGACCACATGACGAGACCCCATCTCTCAAATGCTGAGGGGAATGTGTGGATAGATGCCTAATGCCTTGCTCAAGGCTCCATCCCGAGGTGCTGGCTGAGACCTGAGCTCAGGCTGTGACTCGCCGGCTGCGTGCTGGCGCGGGCGTGGGGCCGCCAGCGCCCAAGGGCCTCCCGTGTGCGGTGCTGTTCCTGCTCCCAGCCACACCGTGGGGTCGGCGGCCTCCCCCTGGGCCAAGGGCGGCTTGCCTGAATGAGGACCCGCGAGCCCGGGCCCGGCCCTGGCGGTGGTCACTTGGTCCCTCTCACACAGGGAGGGCCAGGGAGGCAGTGACCCCTTCCAGCCGCGGGGGCACTTGAGG